GTAGAGAACGGTCGGTTTCCGAGACCTTAGAAAACAGGCGACGGCCAAGAACGCGCAGGTCTCCCTGGTGTGTCCGCCGCGGCTCCCAGACATCAGTGGCCTCAGGTTGCCATCTGCTCTCCGCTGCTCTGCCGAAAGCATTTCTTTAAAAAATGTGTGCATATTTATTGATGTCAGAGAGGAAGGGAGAGGGAGAGGGAGAGAGACATCAAGGATGAGAGAGAATCATGGATCGGCTGCCTCCTGCAGGCCCCACACTGGGGATGGAGCCCACAGCCCGGGCCTGTGCCCTGACCGGGAATCGCACCCTGACTTCCTGTTCACAGGTCAATGCTCAGCCACGGGCCCCGCCGGCCGGGCTGCAAGCGTTTGTTCAGGTCAATCTGCTTCTCTTCTCCTCCTGCAGTTTTTGCGAGTCGATCAAGATAAAGACAAGGACTGCAGCCTGGACTGCGGGGGCTCCCCCCAGAAGCCGGTCTGTGCGTCGGACGGGAGGACCTTCCTGTCCCGTTGCGAGTTCCAGCGCGCCAAGTGCAAGGACCCGCAGCTGGAGATCGCGTACCGGGGCAACTGCAAAGGTAAGCCGTCCGCGCACACACACCTTGCAGCGCCGGACGGTCCCACGGGAGTCGGTCCCACGGGAGTCGGTACCACGGGACCGCCACGCCGTGCGCTTTAGTCCCGCCGCTGCTGCATTGTCGGGAAGGACTCGAGATGTAAGTCTGTGAACACTTCAGATCAGTGGGAAGAAGAGCGATTTCCATGACTCGAGACAGAGCCCTTTGACAGGTTCGTGCTCGCTGACCGCTGGCCCACACCGGCCGGGGCGGGAAGTGGGTTTTAAGACCAGGAAGAGATTAGGTGCCGCGCGAGGCGGCCCATCACCAGCCGGGGAAGGAGGGCGGCTGGGACGAGCTGCTGTCACTGGGATGGGAGCCTCGGGGAACGGCCACTGAACGGGAGGCCAGTGAGGCCCGGAGCCAATGGGAAGGGCACAGCCAGCATTGAGAGTCCAAGCACATCAGGGCCCGACGCTACGGACACGCGTGCACGGGTGACCCGAGGACTCGCGGGTGGAGGTGTCCAGGCACAGACGCCCACAGGGCCCATGAGCCGCTCACAGGCCCTGAGCCCCGCAGGCACCACAGGGAGGCGGGTGAGGCCGGGTTTCCTTGGAGCGATGGAAGCGCTGGTTCCACGCGTGGCGGACGCCCTGAGGCCACCGAGTCCCACGCTCTCAGTTGGTCACGACGACGGTTTGAGGTTTCGTGTCGTGGATCCCAGAGAAAAAATGACAGGGCTTGTGTTGTGAGGATTTCATTTTGAAACCGTTAAAAACAAAGTGTCCAAAAAGAAAAACAAACAAACAAAAAACCCACAAGGTGCCCAGGGTCCAGCCTCAGCCAGACCAGGAGCCGTGAGGGCCGGCTGCGTCCTCCCTCCGACCACAGCCCAGCGTGAGGGAGCTCGTCCGGGCGGCCCCAGGGGAGGCAGGGAGCCCTGAACTCTGTCCTTTTTGCAGAGAGCCGTGGGGATGCAGTGGGATGATGCCATGGCAGGCTGTGCCGGATGCTGTGATTTCTGTAGGGAGGGCCCTTGGTTTAGTCTCACGCAGGAGCAGGTCAGCCAGGCGCCGGTTTAAAGTGAAGGGCGGGCCTGACGGGCGTGGCTCAGTGGGTGAGCGTGGACCTATGAACCGGGAGGTCACAGTGTGAATCCTGGTCCGGGCACACGCCTGGGTTGCGGGCTCAACCCCTAGCGTGGGGCGTGCAGGAGGCAGCTGATCGGTGATTCTCTCTCAACATTGACGTTTCTACCTCCCTCTCCCTTCCTCTCTGAAATCTATAAAAATATATTAAAGAAATAAAGCTAAGGAGAGGAGGGGGCTCTGGTGTGGGCCCCGCCGTGGGCTGCCCAGTGACCCGGAGTGGATGGTGGAGGGGCAAACTGGCCGAGCCTGCGGCCTCACGTCACGTGTCCTGACCACGCCAGAGTGAGTAACACGACACAGCAGCACCGGGCGGCGTGAGCAGTTCTGAGGGAAACCGCCTCGTGGTTTGCATGTTTCAGCAGAATCGGCCGGGAGGGCCGTCCAGGCTCCTGGCCGCAGGCTGTGGCCGGTGCTGAGTCAGCACATCTGGAAGGGGGACCACGGCAGGGGCG